AACAGATATGCTAAACAAAATAACAACAGAATACATTAAAACAAGTTCAGCCGTATAAATTAACTATGAATGGGTGATATACTTCTTGGCATAGATTAAATCAGACATGGGTAAAGGTGAACCATGTAACTTTTCTGTTGGAGGGCCTTCCGTTGGCTTGTCAAACAGGTGACGCCACCAGCCAATTACAAGTCAGATCTGTGTGAAGAATATATTTTTGTGTGAATTTGAATACATGCAAGATATACACTTAATGCCGTAGTACGTAACATTTCAGGCAAAGCAATGCCATATCAAGAAAAAGACAAGCAGAAGTTACACAGTGTACCTTTGAATGGAAAATATATTTAAAAAAGAGTATTATATAACACCATGATGCTCTCCTTGCTTGTCATAACTCCACATCTACTAAAAAGAGCATTTCCTGGTTTTATTTTTATAACACTGAATCAGAAATCTTTGGAAAAAGTTGCAGCTCTAAATTATTATTATAAGTATATACTATAAATAAAGTCTTCTAAAGTAAAAACACAAGCAGCTAGTTGTGCAAAGCCAATAGTCAGCATTAATATCATTGGTATGCTTTCTGGTTATGCACACTTGATCGCTATAGGAAGTACTTTGAAGTATTACATTGCATAATAAGCATGATCTTAATCTTCTATCAGGTTATTTATTATTCAGACAAAATACCCTATAAATGAATCAGTTATGAAGTTGAGCAGCATCAAAACCACTTCATTCTTTTCCTATTTTCTTTGTACTTTTTGTATGTGCCATTATGTAACTACAGTGTTTGCTGGAGTGCCACATGTTGCCCTGAGAGTGGAGTTATTCCCAGTGGAGACACAGTGGATCAAAGGGACACTGCAGAAGCACAGAACATCGCCACAAACCTCCCATTGGTAATGAGACTCATAAATAATGAAACTAAATAAGACGTTATCTGTGAATGTGGTGGATAATCCCTATGATTTATGGGAGATAACCTGCTAACAAGGCCATTCATCTGGTACGAGTGCAAACCCCGCTGTGAAAAACAAATGGTCATCTCCAAATCCTACAGAAGATCTTATTAGGTACAGTTAATATGCATATAATCTACAATAAGAGAATATATTTGGTGCATTGTAAAAATCCAACAGCCTAATAATACAAGTGTGTCCATTGTCTTCCTATTCAAAACTGCAGAACTGATAAGACCGACCTAATGTCTCATCATAGCAAGCAGCAGATGTATGACCTGGACTATGACTGTACTGAATAATCACAAGTAAATGCAGAGCAGTGGGCGGGAAAGTGAAAACAGAAACTTTCTTAGCACTCAAGCCTCAAATATAGGACAACGCAGGATGCTACAAACATCCATGAATAAATAAATAAAAAAACAACTGGTTAAAAGCTCACAAAAAGTCAACTTTGCATAGATTGGGAAGAAATGGCAGCAACGTGATTGAAAAAAGGTTTGTTTAGTTACTTGCAAATGTACCTCATCAAAATTAGAGCTCAACATGGAATTTAACCTGGACAGGACCAAACCAAGTCTACATCAGGACTATTTTGGGCTTAAACCAGTAACAATCCAGGACTGATGTGTGAATCTGCCCTATGTAATAAGATTAGGAATGAGTATATGCAGGGGCATCTTCTTTGGATGTTTTGAAGAGAAAGTCAGTTAGAGATGATTTCAGAAAGAAGTAAGAGGGCGAAAATTATTATTATTAAGTATTGCCCATTGACAAAAAAAAAAAAGAAGGTATTTTGGACATGGAAAATTAATTAATATAAATCAAGAAGAATAGCATAGTGTTGTCATTTATTTAGTGTATTTTTGTGGTTTGTACCTGCTTAGATCTTAGTTGGCACTGTTAATTTAAAATCTGTGACAGTACAGTCTCTCTATACTTTTGCACCATTGATGACTAACTTCTACTTTCTCTTTCACAGTTTAGGTAATATTTATAATTGCTTTCTCGCTCCAACTTCACTCCTTCTCTGCACCAATTTGTTCATAACACAAATACTTTCTTTCTTTCTCTCTCTTCTCTGTACTACAAATTAGCATCTCCTTGTTTTGATGTTGTTGAAATCTGTACATGATGACAGTGTTTCTTAATTATAATACAAAATTTGTCATACTTTCTCTGCATGACTTGTTCAACCTTAAACAAACCAACCAAGTGTCTGCATTGCATCACTGCGATACTGTGAGGAGAAGAGATTGAGAAATGTGCCTGCATCTGTCTGTAGCTATAAAAAAGGGAACCTCCTCATTATCATGCTCCGTCTGCCTCCAGAGGTCCCCAAACACTCGGCGATACCTGGTGCATTCAGAATAGCAGGATCACAAACTTGAAGCACGACTGTAGTATAGCAATGGATTCGGATTTCAACAGAGATAGCCACAAACACTGCAACAATTTATCACTGCAAAAATGTTTTTAGCTTTAGGCCAGACATGTCCGAAATGCTAACGTAGATTGTGTATTGATTTTTTTGCATTTATATTATACTGACCAGGTGTAACGTTACTGCCACCTGCTTTGGTGTTCAGATTTTATGGCAATGTTTGATATAAGGCATTTCAAATTGATCACTGCAGATTGGGTAAACCCCACAAGACCTGCAGTTTTGTCATACAGGCTTGCAAGATTAAAAGTGCGTTGTGTAACTTTTTTCTGGTTTTTGGAGGAGGAGATGTCTTCCATCTGCTTTTCTCATGGAGATATCATTCTTTTACCAATGCCTTAACAGTATAAGATCATTTATTGCAAAAAAGCCCCTCAAAAAATAACTATTCTTCCTGTGAGAGGTGTCACCTCTCCTGGCCTGATGGCATCACCTGCTTCTCTCCATGGAGTTAGATGAGTTTAATGCCACAATGTGGGACAGTCTTGGGTGAGGCAATGGAATAACATCTCCAAAGAGACTAGCAGGTTGAGTATCTCAGCAGAAAAGTTACATAGCATAACTGTAATTGCAATCAAATCACAATTTGAACAGCAACAAAGAGCAAATGCTTCAGTTAAAGTAATATATTGTTCTAAAATTCATATGAGACTTGTTTTTGCATGATTCATTTTCCTGGTAAATTTTAATGCTCTATATTTCCAAAATGCACATCAGGTCCACATACACCAGTTCCAAGTGTAAACATTGTTCAACATTATCATCTACTGTTTACAGCAATTACAATGTAATGCCTGATTAGTGTTTTTGTAACTAAATCACACATTCACATTGTAATCCTTATAGTCCTTATGCTTACAGCTACATATATTTGTCCACACACAGTACATCACACACATGGTATTTACTGCACACTTGGCCTAAGGAGTGGGCCGTCCTGCACCAGTCTGCAGGCGACTGAGCTAAAGGAGGTTAAACACTCGCCTCATCGCAGTTAAAGTCAACAGATTCTGAGGCAAAACACTCCAAGTCCACTTCCTCACTAATGTATGTTGACAAGTGGGTTTTATATGAGGGACTGCAGGGTAAAATCAGCAATCATGAATAGTCTATTACGGAGTGGTAAACACTCAAGAGGAGATGCAGGAATGTTATAAGAAAACAACAATAGAATGTGTTGCTTTTAAAACTAGGGAAAAGATTAAAACTTCTGAAATGAAGCAAAAGTGGCTCAGGTGGTAAATCAGTTGCCTATTAACATGAGGGTTGATTGTTTTAATTCTACTCAAGTCAATTTCATACTTTTGCTGTGTCCTTGGGCAAAACACTTCACCAGACTTGTTTGAATGCATATGCGTGACTGTGTGATGGCTGGTATCCTATTGGCTGTAAGTCACATTTGTGTCAGTCTGCCCCAGGGCGGTTATTCTTATAGACTTCATATTACGAGTGAAAGAAAATGTGTGAAAGTTGTGAAACTATATTAAGAAGACTGATGCATTATTATCAATTATTTAAAAGCTGTGGCCAAAGTACTTCTCAATTCAGTGTTACTTATAAAAGATATACCACTGTACTCACTAATTTTAGTAAATTACTACTAATCTGCTTCTTAACAGCCTATATAACCTATATAATGTACAGTTCCCCCAACTCTATGCAGTAGATGGGCTTGGATCTGAAAAATATCTGTATTTAAACGGCTGTGGTGACTGAGCAGTGCACATCACGGAAAGTGTAAGGTTCCAGTCAGATCCATAGGGACAGTATTGTTTAGGAGAGCTGCAGGCATGAACTGGAGCTAAGAGGAGACGATCATTAAAACTCTTAGGTATTCTCTAATCAGTGTCTCCAGAGAAACTCCCATGACCTACTGTGGGAAAATAATTTCTAGGGCTTCATTTTATGAGTCTGTCAGAATGATTTCACTAAAATAAAGATGGTGTCGATCTTAAGATTATAATGTAGTTCACAGCCTGTGCCCAAGTAAGAAAGAATGACTGTAATGACTTTATTGGGGTGAACTGGACTTCAAACTTGAATAAGCCAAAGGCTATTACCAATAACAGCCCAAAATTAATCTCTCCCCACATACAAAGCAGCAAGTATTGGCTTCATGATCCCAAACAGAAGCAAATTAATTATTTTAAGAAAAAATCAAATTAGAACCAAATTGGAAACTGACTACAATTGCTATACAGACTAAATTATTGGTGAATTTTGTACTTTTTGATGAGTCGGGTGAAGAAATAAGTTCTGATTGGGGATATTTGGGAAGTGTAATCATTCAACTGAGACAGGTCCACACATTGTGAAAGTTTCAAAACCTCAGAGTTTCAGAGGTTTCCTTTTGTAATGGCATAGAACTTTCTAACATAAAAAGACAAATATAGATCTTAAAAGTAAGCCGTCAAAGCAAGCTGCCAAAATGATCAATATGAACAATAAATGAACCAAAGATAGGTGTAAGAGAATTGGAGCGAGTTCTTATTTGACCAAACATTACATTTACTGGTTTTCATCTTGTATCATCCAAAGCTCCTTCTCATACTTTACTTGAACTGGCCATATCTGTGTTTGTGTTTATGCAGGTGGCCAACCTACTGCGGCTCTTCCAGATCCCTCAGATCAGTTATGCCTCTACCAGTGCCAAACTCAGTGATAAGTCTCGTTACGATTACTTTGCCCGCACTGTGCCCCCGGACTTTTACCAGGCCAAGGCCATGGCCGAGATCCTGCGCTACTTCAACTGGACCTACGTGTCCACCGTGGCTTCTGAGGGCGACTATGGTGAGACGGGGATCGATGCATTTCACCAGGAGGCTCGAGCCAAGCAGATCTGCATCGCCACATCAGCTAAAGTGAGTCGCTCCATGAACAGACAGGGCTACGAGATTGTCATCCGCACTCTGCAGCAAAAGTCCAACGCTAAAGTGGTCATCCTGTTCACACGCAGTGAGGACGCCCGGGAGTTGTTAGCAGCTGCTGCCCGTATGAACGTGAGCTTCTCCTGGGTGGCCAGTGACGGCTGGGGGGCCCAGGAGAGTGTGGTGCGCGGCAGTGAGGCTGCGGCAGATGGAGCCTTCACCTTAGAGCTGGCCTCTTATCAGATCAGAGAGTTCACAGACTATTTCACAAAACTCAACCCCTACACGAACACCAGGAACCCCTGGTTCAGAGAGTTCTGGGAGAACCACTTTGACTGCAGCCTGCAGCAGGCGGGCTGCAGCGAGCACAGCCTCCGGGATGGGACATTTGAGCAAGAGTCCAAAATCATGTTTGTGGTGAACGCTGTGTACGCCATGGCCTACGCTCTGCACAACATGAGGCAAGCCGTGTGCTCCAACACGTCCATGGTCTGTGACGCCATGAAGCCAGGCAACGGAAGGAGGTTCTACAAGGAGTTCATCCTCAAGACCAAGTTTGAGGGTCAGTATAGCACTGTGTTTCATCTAACTGATACCTAATGTCTTCACTGTCAGAGTATTTGCTGATAATATTTGCTCTTTGAGTATAATTAAACTACTTTTGCGATATTGATTTGCAGCTCCCTTCAGACCTCCAGACACCGACAGCATGGTCCGGTTCGACTCTATGGGCGACAGTATCAGTCGCTACAACATCTTCCACTACCACAAAGAAGAGGGCAAATTCACCTATAAGAAGGTGGGCTACTGGGACCAAATCCTGACCCTAAACACAGCACTTGTGCCTTGGCGTGGTTTAGGGCCCCCCACTTCCCAGTGCAGCGACCCCTGTAGGAAAAACGAAATCAAAAGCATGCAACCAGGAGATGTCTGCTGTTGGATCTGCATACCCTGCCAGCCATACCAATATCTCCAAGACGAGTTTACCTGTGCCGACTGTAGCTTTGGACAGTGGCCTTTGGAGAATCTAACAGGTTGCTATGACTTACCAGAGGAGTACATCCGCTGGGAGGATGCATGGGCTATTGGGCCAGTCACCATTTCCTGCCTGGGCATCCTGTGCACCCTGTCGGTCATAGGGGTCTTCTTCAAAAACAACGAGACCCCTGTAGTCAAAGCAAGCGGGCGTGAATTGTCTTATATCTTACTGCTTGGTGTTTTGATGTGCTACAGCATGACTTTTATCTACATTACCAAGCCCTCCACCACAGTGTGCACTCTGCGTCGACTGGGTCTTGGCACCTCCTTTGCTGTGTGTTACTCTGCTCTACTCACCAAAACTAACCGTATCGCCCGAATCTTCAGCGGGGTAAAAGACGGAGCTCAAAGGCCAAGATTCATAAGTCCAGCGTCCCAAGTGGCGATTTGTGGGGCACTGATTTCTTGCCAGTTGCTAGTAGCGATCGTTTGGCTCTTGGTGGAGGTGCCTGGGGTGAGAAAAGAAGTTAGCCCTGAACGGAGGAACGTAGTGACGCTAAAGTGCAACAGCAGGGACTCTAGCATGCTAATATCACTAACCTATAACTGCGTTCTGATCATCCTCTGCACCGTCTATGCGTTCAAGACCAGAAAGTGCCCTGAGAACTTTAACGAGGCAAAGTTCATTGGGTTCACCATGTACACAACATGCATCATCTGGCTCGCCTTTCAGCCCATCTTCTATGTGACCGCCAGTGACTACAGGGTGAGTCTGTTTGCATGCTACTCTGGTTTTCTCTATTCATCAGACTAAATTGTACTCAAATATGAATAATGTTACTTCAAAATAATATTAATTACTCAAATAAAAGCACAAAGCAGTGGTCTAGGAAACCACTCAAGTGAAAGCTAAAAAGTACCTGAAAAAACTACTACTCAAGAAAGAGTAACTGTCTCATTTATAATGTCAAATGTATGTAATTTGAAGGACAAAACCTGATATACAAGGATTATACCACAAAAGTGAGAAAAACTCAATTGTTTATGAAGGAGGGGTGCAAGAAACACAAATATTTCAACAATTTTGTATTATCAACATAAAACTTTCATCACTTGCAGACTTACTCACAGGGGAAGAATAACCAAAATATTTACTTAAGTAAGATTACTGTACACTGTAAAATGTATTTAATTATTACAAAACTGTAAAGGCTTGATTTTTATGAAATTTTATGAAAAAGAAACACAAGTAAATGTAACTGATACCCACCTATGTTTTTCATCAAAACATCTAATGCATTTACACGACTGTACAAGGCTTTATAAAACAGAACAGCCCCGAAAAAATGTCAGTAGGTGCAGTTGTCTCTATCATCCCACTGCCCATAGCTTTTTGACACAAACCAAAGGATGACTAGTTTATTATGTGCTGTGTATTGTCTGTAATTACTCAGCTGATCTTTAGGACTTTCAATGACAAATTTCTCTTTTGAACAAAAAAAGTATATTTGTGTGTTGCTGATAGATGCCTGAGTCACAAACGAGCAAAGCTTAGTAACACTGTCAAGGGACTCCCAGTATTGTCTAAAGTGGCAGTCAGCACTCCTTCTCCTCAGTAAATGGTTGCCCGGATGGACTGCAGCTAGTGCACAATGTAATTTTTCTGGTCAAATGTCCACCAGCTGCTTGTCTCCATAGAGATGTTATTGCTTTGCCTGGCACATTCCTCCTTAAATATATATATATATATTTTTACTGATCAAAATACCTTAGAAAACATGCACTATTGGTGATAGACAAGTTTAATGCCATACTGTGGAACATTTCAGGCAAAGTAAAACATCTCTATGAAAACAAGTATGAAAGGTTACGTAATGCACCTTTAAAGCCCCTTAAAGGACACAGACAAAATTAAATGAACAAATGAATGTCTTATTTTGTCCTTGGGAAAATAGTGTTGACACAGTTGAAAAAAGTCATTTTTAAATCAGTGTCTTACTTTCAAATTCCATTTGATTAGATCGCCACATTTCTCTTAAAATTGCAACCCGCTTTATTATGTTATGCAAAGACAGGAACAAAGACCAGACTTAAATATATGCAGAGGGAATAATTAATGACAGGAAGCTGGTTCATTATTAATAGATTACTGACATAGTTTGTCACCATAAGCAGAAGTGTTGATTTCATTCAAATCAACATACATTATTCAAAACCCTCCAACCATCACCTGCTCTTCACCTATTTCTTCTGTTTAAAAAAAATCAAACCAGTAAGTAATGATCTGTTTTAAACATATTTGACCATATTTAGTAAAAAAAAAGACAAACATACAACCAATCTTCAGTAAAATGGGTCCTAATGCATATAGGTCTCATGGTCCCACCAAGTCGAAACACAAAAGGTATAACACAAGTGGTATAATTGATTTAGAGAAGGGTTCAAGGAGTTAATTTAACAAGAAAAATGGCAAACTCTCTATTTGAAGATATAAAGCATGTAAATTGCAATTGCAACACTTACGCGAATCGACTTGGCTGCACTTAACAGTACACCTGAATTAACCACTATATGAATATGCACACCCCCCAGCTATGTTGATAAGAGAAACTATAATTTACATTTCATTTTCTTATGAAAACGTATAGCTGGGGGAACTAATCTCTAATCCACCGTGTGCTATGTAAGACAAATAAGACCAAACAAATGCTACACAGCTGACAAAGCATGTAAATTATGAGAGAGGTGCCTTGGGCGGACATTCAGCGTCTGCCTCTATGTTGGGACTGGTGGTAATGAGGAGATTTCAACAGAGACACGGTTCAAGAGCATGGAGGAGTTGTACTGTCATAACACTGCTCTGACTTTCATGTCAAATGGTGTCTCTAAACAGCAGAATTAACCTGTTAACAAAGAGACAAACGATTTACGACGAACATATAAGAAGAGACAAGGAATTTGTTTACTTTCAAAATGTCACCATCTATCTAGCACAGAAAGTAGACAGCCAAATTTGTTATCCCTTATTAAGTCATCTCTATGTAATCATTTCTGTTGGCAACTAAAAGATTATAACACTGATTAGATGGCAATACAATTTACATTTTGATCTCGTTAACTTGTTTGGTAGTGGGATCATTATTGGGACCACAAGTGTTTCAGTGACCTATCCACCAAAACTTTTGAAGGTCCTGTCTGGATAGTGTAAAGATGCTCTGATACCAATACTGGTATTGGGTATTAGCTCCAATCCAGAAAAAAAATGCTGACTCACATGATCTCGTGGCTGAACCTAAAAAAAACAATGTAACTACTGACTGGATGATACTGGTCCAGAAATTGTCATACTGCAGCTTTTTAACAGTTGGATTAGATTTATTTTACAATATTTATGGTTTTATATCAAGTATAGCTGTTGGCAGAAATCAAAACTCAAAAAGCTCGATAGGAAAAACAAACAGGAGAGGCCAAGCGCTGTACCCCACATATGAATAAAAAGTCTCTCAAAACAATATCAAACTTATCCTTGAAGTTAAATATGAAAGCATAAGCTTACTTAAAGGTGAAGAGGTAATTGACTCATGTGAGCTTTAAGCCATGTTACAAAATACCTGGAGTTATGTTTTGTTTCATCTACACATGTTTGAGTAACCCTTTATAATTTAGTCCAGGGGTGTCAAACTCATTTTGGTCCGGGGCCCCTATCCAACCTACTTTGATCCCAAAGGGGCCGAATCAGAAAACTTCCCAAAAATAGCAATAAGTTCAAGTATTTGTGCAGAGAAATGCAAATCTATTACAGAAATTTTTTTTTTTTTAAATTGATGAACTCTTTCTTTTAGAAAATATTATAATATTATGAACAACCTGAAACTTTAAGAAAAAAGCAATTTCAACACAATGTTTTAACATGAACTTGCAAACAGGAATAAGTTCTGTTTTCTTGGAAAATCCTGTACTCGGTGTCCACTTTTCTCATTTTGGACATTTTGCTGATGAGGGTGTCACAGTCAACAGTCAAAACGATCGTCCTTTAAGAGCGTTTGGACTGAGGCAAGTCTTCATTTGTACTGCTCTGGAAGGGGGGGCCCTGCACAGAGGCGCTGGAGACGCTGATATGCTAAGCGGCCAATTAATTACTAATATTTTAATAGAAAATATTATTAAAATATTTTAGTAGAAAATCAGCTGGTCTTGGAGGGCAGGATCTGGCCCCTGGGTCTTATGTTTGACACTCCTGATTTAGTCTGTCTACATCTTCAAAGCTCAAAATGGTCTGTTCCACCCTTTGATGTCACGTAGTAGTAGTTTTCAACTACCTTTTACCTTTAGATCATAGAGATAGACAATTCCTTGCCTGCCCAGCCAAGACCATACATATTTTTTTAATACTTTACAAAGCTGTGTTTACATTCTACATTCAATGGCAGGATGTAAGAGGTTCTGGCTGGTCAGGCAAGGCAAATCCAGGGCTAAAATTATCCAAATTATTCTAGTAAAGGTATATGGAGTTTAAAATCAAAATGGAACACTTCTTGTACTACCATATGACATCACAGTGTTGAGAGAAGAACCCAGCTTAAATATGCAGGATTTGTGTGTTATAACATAGATCAGATAATAGCATAATATGGGCCCTTTAATTTCAGTGCTTGGGAGCAAGTGACCCTCCTCTAGCTGCTTTCCCAAATCATCACTCCCAAATGAATAGTATTAGGCAATCCACATTTAAGACAAACAGCACAAACAGGAGTGGCCAAGCACATACCACACACAATTCAACCCAACTGTTGTTTTTTCCACTCATCTGTTTTCCAAGTCTGTAAAGTTCAAAGAGCCAGTGACTTCTCATATAACTGCTGTGTTGTTGTAATGCTGCAGCTTTAGTCGGGATTTCGCTTCACGCTGGGGCTCTGCAAATAGAAGTTCCTGGACTGCAGGGGTGACCAGTGGGGTGGGGAGTGGAAGATGACCCTAGCAGTCAGCTCACATTAGCCACTGAAATATGACTAACTAAAGGGCCGATGTAGCAGGAGGACCAGCTGCGATGCACCATATCACTAACTTTGCTCATTTGGCATGCACACATAAAAGCACATTAGAATTACTAAGAGACTTAATAGGAAATGGAGATTAGATGTGGGGATTTAAGTGTAAGGAGTGCAAGAAGGAGCCACTGGAAAAAAGCACTCTTAGCTGCAGGATACAGTGGTGGTATTGCATTATCGGTACAGTAACAGTATGTGACAGGCTTACATACTTTCAAATTCTCATGCAAACCAAGCCGTAAATGTCAATTGTATGCTACTTGTTAACATTACGGCTAGATTGTGTATCATGGAAATCAGGCTTTTACTTTGGGGGTAGGGTCAATCTGTTCAGAATCACATAAATGGTGGTTCTAAGCCCGATTCTAGAAATTCATATTGTTGTTGTTTCCTTGGGCAAAACACATTATGCTCCTCGGTTCCAGAGTCACTTTACTTTGGAGTATGAATATGTGATTGTGCATGCCTTGGAGTAGTGCTTTGAGCGAGATGATGGTAGAAGAGCCCTCCATAAAGTACATGTAAAGTATCTTCTGAGTATTTTATTTTTACAGTGAAGTTGGAACATTGTAACAGAATGAAATGATATGTAGACATCCTCAGAGTCCAAACTCAGTCCCAAAACACAGAAAGAAAACATTTATATTCATGCACAGCATGTACTAACAGAGATAAAAATGACAAATCTTAAAACTTTTATGGCAATAAAAAATATCGCACAGGACCATTTGGGAGCAATATCATCCCTTCTGGTTACAACAATCTGTAAATTTCTGGATAGGGTTTAGACACTGATTGGAATTTTGAAAAAAATAATGCCTGAAACTTTGGACAGCCCTATGTGGTGTAGGGCTTAATGTAGAATATAAAAATAGGTGGCACAATGGTGCAGTGGTTAGTAGCTTCAACCTTACAACAAGAAGATCTTGGACTCCACTCATGGGTGCTGCAGGGCTTTTCTGTGTGTTTTTGCATGTTCTCCACTTTTTTCTAATTGAGATCTTTCAAAAATCATCTGCCCCTTTGCAAATCAATTGTACACTATAAGAAGGTTCTAGATCTCACATAAAAGGGATTCTGAATCACAGTATTTTCCTTGTTTTTATTGTCCAGTGGCCATCCCCACAACCACCTGATGATTATATTCTAATGTACGCTTTGCTTTGTGTCCCCACTGCTTTAGCTTTTAAAATGGGAACAAACTATTTAGCAAAACATCCCCTTAGAACTCTAAAGCTTTTAATAAAATGTAGTTAATCATGCGATCTTGTTCCTGAATACTTTTTCCACACTTTTTGCAGAACTTTCAGCATTTATTAGATTTATAGGAGGCAAAATCCATTTCCCCCTTTCCACTGAGCTATACAACTAATCAAACCTAAAAATCTCAGAATTACCCTGAGCGTACAGGATGAAATGACAGTGTACTGACAGTACCAGTGATATTGATTGTACCTTCTTCCATTGTCTCCCAGGTTCAGACCACGACCATGTGCATCTCAGTGAGCCTGAGCGGGTCTGTAGTGCTGGGTTGCCTCTTCGCTCCCAAACTCCACATCATCCTGTTCCAGCCACAGAAGAATGTGGTCACACACAGAGTGACCACCAACCGCTTCAGTGGCACCGCCTCTGCCCCCAGCTCCAGCTACTCCAAAGGTCAGAGCTGCCTTCACACATGTTATGACAACACAAACGGTCCCCCTGAAACCACAAGAAACAAGAAATGTATCTCTCTCAAGTCTCAGCTAATAACAGTGGTTAAACAGTGGCTATGTTTACCTGCCAGAGCCAGGCAATTCATTTGAATCAAGGGATTTAGTCATAAAAAAGGACAAACTAATCTGGTAAAGTAAAAAATGAATGAGAAAATGTTAAATGTTTAAAGGTGCACTATGTATCTTTTTGGTTGGAGGTCTATTAAATTACAGATGTATAGCTCAAAAATACCTATAAAAACAAGGATTCTGGCTGTGAGTGGGGCTGCCTCTCCAAAGATCTGACTTGTGACTTGTGGTTTAAGCTCCATGATAGAAAGGATTAATGCCATACTGTGAAACATTCCAGACAAAGCAGTCTTCACTAAGAAAAGCATTTGACGAACCCTCCACTAGAAAAATTACACAATGTGCCTCTAAAGAGTTATTTTATTGGATTTTTTATTCAAAAAATCCATTGATTAACAGACACAGTGATGTCACCAGGTGCTTTAGATCAGATTTATTTTGTGCATATAAACAAACACCAAAACCAGATAATTATTGGGTTATCCCATTTTTACTGGCCATGCAATGCAAGTATTGCGGAAAGGAGACTGACATTATAGTGCCCACCTTAAGGAAGTGGGGGATGTAGGGATTGTATTAAACAAGAAAACAAAATAAACACAGCACTTATGTTATGATCTGAGACAAGAACATAACATTAAGAACATTTGTAATGCTAATTATTTGATAATTATTTTCACAACAAAAATACTGAACATGTATAAGATGTTCACTTGGATTTTGTTTAGCTTTTCAAGGCCATCAGAAAGCAGAATGAGCTCCCCACATTGGGGTAATTGTCACATGTTACATGTAATAAAAACAAGTTGCACCCATAGGGCTCTTTAAGATGAAAGCTAATAGGATCCTGTAGAACACGTATAAAAAACATGCTACATCTTTTTCTCATTGAAAGCTGATCATTCAAAATCCTTTCAAGAGGAGTTTATGCAGGGTCATTCAAGAGGTTTCACATCCTTCCTAACTCCTATGCCCCTGTTTGCAGCATTGCCGACAGGAATCAATCTCACAATCTCGCAACATTAAACCTGGCACAGTCTTTTTTGTGCTACAAACCTAGACCAATACAGCAGCAGTGGCTCTGGTTTTATTTATTCTCTTGCTCATTGTTTTCATAGTAATTCTTTGCAAACTGCCCCCAAAATAATGCAGTTTGTTCAAATTATAAATAGCCCTTTGAAACTATTATGTCCTATCCCTTTCACATAACTCCAACAAACCCCAAGCATCTGATATTTTGACACCAATTAACACATTACAATGTCACTGCTTTTCTCTTGTATTATTTGTTCAAGTTCATCCTATTAAAATGTATGTTTTTATTTATCTTAGGTTCTGCATCCAACTACGTTCCAGCAGTGTGCAATGGTCGAGAGGTGGTGGACTCTACAACGTCCTCATTGTAAAAAATAAAAATCTGCCAACTTCCAACAGTATGTACGCACAATGGATCAACAGAGAAATACTGCCCAGAGCAAGAAGCTAACTGTAAAGCTATTCCCACTGCAAGCTATAGGCTATGTATTCAATAAAGCCTTTTTGTATAGATTTAATATGCTGTGGTTTTGGTTTACAAATAGATGTAAAATGCACCGTGCCTTGTCCTCAGAAGTTGTGTTATTTTCAATGGATGGTTGTGAAGCAATTGTGTTACTTAATAAGGTTCTTAATCTTGTCCTAATATAGTGACGTGACTATATACAAATGTCTTGACATCAGTAAAATAATGCCATGAATGAATTCTGTCATAGTAACTAACTGTATTGGTGAAAACTAGAAACTAGGTATATATAGTCTACTACAGGGTGTGATTTGTTCATAACAATGTTTTTTTTTTTTCCTGTAACTTATGTAAATAACATGTTTTTAATATTAAAATATTAAAGAAACTAATGCAGATGCTGTGTAATTATTGCAACACTTGTAGGGATGTCACAGGCTAAAATTTTAGTGTTATGATTATTTTGAGAAGAAACATCACGACTGTGCACCATGCATGACTAAACAACAGTGGCTATATTCATATGCACACCAAAATCTGATTATCAGATTTTTCTGGACCTCAGACATGCAAACTACAGAATCTGATGTGAATAAAATCTGATAATAATCTGATTTGGTGTGTGCATGTAACTGCAGCCTTTGAAACTGCACTTTCATTACTGTTGCCAAATACATCATTCTTCTAGCATGTGATCAGTTTTATGAAGTAAAACTTTCTAAATTAAATGGTAAAGTTTTGATGGCACTTTTTGAGCTATACATAATATAGAAATGACAAATTGTTGGATCTAAAATGGTCACATATATATTTCTAGTTTTTGTTCTTATGATTATATTGTTACATGAATAAAAACACCGAAGAGAATAATCTAGCAAAACGTGAAAGGAGCTGACTGAAGACCGATGTATTGCTATTCAAAAGGTGCTCATACTCAAATTGCTCAGGCAGTTTGTTGAATAGATCAGCATATTGACCTCTTAAAACCTGGTTTCAGACAGCTGTAAACTGTCAGTAAGAATTAGTGATGCATATTTTGTGTCAGACTCAAGTGGACATCTATTCTCCAGGGAAATTAAACAGCCAATCTATTATGTAGCAGAAACTGAAGATCTTATAATATGGGGACCTTATAAGATTATGTAAAAGAAGATCACACAAGGGGATTGTCTGAATAGTCTCAGTCTATAACTGAAGAGAATTCAATAAATTATATAAAAGGTTACATCTGTCAACACACTTGTGTCATATTAAAATTAAATTGTAGATCAAAATGACTTGATTAAAGATGAAATAGGATCCAACTAACTATAGGACCACTCTGGTAAACTTAAAATACATCTGAAATCAAAACACCACAGCATGTTCCTTATTTTATCTTTTAATTGATAAATTTACAAAACATATGAATTATAAATCTATAAAAACAACACATCACGCCTCAGTCTCATTGGCATCCTCTGCAATGGGCTGTTTCCTCTTCAGTGGAATAATATAAATCCCATTCTTAGTTTCTTTTAGTCTCCACCATCTGCCCAATCTGCAAAACACAGTACATTTAGTTACAAACTTTACACACCTTTATTAATACTCATTATAAATATTAATAGAAATATGACATCTCCCAATCAAAAATGTAAATTTCCCTCTTGAAATGTAGTCTCTGTGTGGATTAAACAAACATTTACAATTATTGAAGGTGAACTGTGTAACTGTGTTGTCTCCATGGAGAGGCTATTGTTTTGTCTGGAAGGTTTCGCAGTATGGCATTAAATGTAGCCATCTCCATGGAGACAAACAGGTGATGCAACAAGGCTAGATTACAAATGAGGTATCTGGAGAGGAGCCCATGCACGACACAGCAGCATGCTTTTTTCAATGTATTTTGAGCAAAAATAACACCTGTAATTAAATAAATGTATGACAGATGAGTTTAATGACATACTGCACACCAATCTAGACAACAATGACAATGCCATTGGTTACAAACAGGGGACATACTCTTCACTTGAAAACTGACTTAGTGCATCTTTAAGAGGGGAGTGAGGTTCAAAAAGTTCAATTCACAGCTCATTTGTTTATTATAATCAAATTATTCAAACCACATTATAAGCCACTGGAGGAAATAGAACTTTAAAAACTACAAAAAGGTCAGCTTCAACTTTAAAGCAGATGCATAGATTTACACTGCCATCTAGTGGAGACTTTACTGAGTGCAGGTTGAACACAGCAAAACTTCAGGTTAATCTGTGTCCAGTTACCATGGAAACACAAGAATAGAGATACCTGTGCTCCTGTCCCACTCCTGCCACAAGGAACTGACCCGAGCTAGAGAACTTCAGGCTGTTCACAAAACCAGGCTGAGGAAGAGATGAGAAACATGGGTTAATGACCAAATCATCAACATTTTCAGATTATAATAGATCCTTGCAATGATACAAATAATGATTCAAATGCTTGAAGATTTTGATCACTGTCATAGAAAAACAACAAAATTACAGCGTTTAGAGCATCAAACACTGCTTTTTGATGTAAAAAAAATAAGGTGTAAATTTTGTATCAAGAAAACTATATCCTTAAACAAGCATGAATGTATAAAAAAAAGCAGTATTGAATGTATGTTGAAGAAACACATACATTCATTAATTTTAAATATTACTATAGTTTTGGGCCTTGATTTACATAATCACCTTATTGCACAGTTGTACATATTGTAATTAGCTGTTCAGTACAACATACCAGTTAAGGCATGTATAGAAAGTAGGAGTAGTGCAAATTGCTTCTCTTAAATCTTAAAATCAATACACAACCTATTCTTTCCCTTCCACACTCCAGTATCGGCGTACTGGCCACAGGCAAATATGTAATAAATTGTATTGTAGCAGCTGCACCAAATTGCCCCCTTGGGGATAATAAAGACGATACCCTGAACCTTGAAAATGTTTTCAGTAAATGAAATTCCTTTTGCATCATGTTGCACACATAGCCATATACACTTTCCAGTTTAAACTGTATGGATGGGTAAAAATCAAAAGAATCATACTAGCAAGAGGTAGACACCATTTCATGCCTATTTTTTTTATTCATTGATTTCCCCTTCCAGTTTTAAATACTATTCTGAGCACTTCTCACAAGAGAAGAGAAGAAATAATATTTTATTTTGCTATAGCAACAGACCTAATTATTCATCACTCTGAAACCCATGGATAGATAGTACTCATACTAAGAACTTTATGATACTAAAACTAGTATTAAAAATATATACTAATTCGAGCAATATCAATAGGGAAAAGAAATGTCATAAATAAAATTGGACCTTTCATGAATTGTTTTAGAAAAAGTCTTGATCTACATCAGAACTATTACAAAACTATACGGAAATACAGTATAACTACTATGAATTTGTGTTGAAAGAATATAAAAAGAAAAAGCATAAAAAGATTGGTATCCTGACACCACTAATTTGTTATCTGTTAAGTCAGTGAAAAAGAGCTCATGTGAGGTTTACCACAGGAATGTTGAACAGCAGCTCTATGCTTCTGTAGTTGTGACCACACTTCCAGATCTGTACCTCAGAGTTGTGAGAACCTGCAGCAAAGACACACAGTTACCTTCCTGACACTGACAGTCAAGTGTGAATAGGTTCATTAAAGTGGGAGTTAAACACAGTTTTGTTTTGTTTTAACCAGAAAGTTGAAAATGTACTTTAGTTTGCACTAAAATTGGCAACAATGACAAGGAATAGGGGAAAATGCTATTAAAACACAATTTAATAGCAAACAAGTAAATTTAGTGTTTAGTTCCACTTTAAAGAGCTGGTATACAGGATTCTCACAGCTGCAGGCACCTGAGGCAACAGTATCAGAGTTTTGCAGTGCAGCTACAGATGTTATCCAGAGGGGGCGCTCAAGACCAGGGTCACCATGACAACCATGGGCTTGCTTCACTGTGGCAACAGGCTTCTTCTTGTTCACACTCCAGAGACACACAGAGCTGCAATTGATCAGTATGAGAAGGAGGGAAATATGAATGAATAGCAACATAGTAACTGTATGTCTCAAAACAAACCAAATAAATTCAGTGAAAAGAGAGTTTAATTTTTTAACAGCCTTGTGACCAAGGTTTTGCATCACATTATCATTGACAACATAAATGAATCATTGGATTTATATAGCAACTTTCAAGACACCCAAAGCACTTTGCAGTGAATTCTTCATTCACTTCACACTCAGTAGTGGTAAGCTGCTAATACAGCCACAGCTGACCTGCCCTGGGGCAGACTGACAGATGGTTGCCATCAGCTACTTGTGCATACACCACAAATAATAGAATGCCATAAAGAATAGACATATTATACTATACAAGATTTTAAAATGCTGTATACTTTATTTTTACTTAATCTGTAACTTAAGTACAATACATTACATCCAATAATGAGTATTACATGATTTAATATTTTGAAGGCCAAATCAAAAGGTTACTGTTAACCTACCCATCGTCAGCTCCTGTTATCATGTGCTCCTCATTTATGAGTTGGACACAATCAATGGAACCACTAGGGGAAAAAAACAAAATAGAAAAGATAGATTCAGTACAAAGTGAATTCTTCATCACATTTCTACTTATTGAACAATAGTAATGTAATTGTATATAGCACCTTTCTGGATGCACATCTTTGATTAGCCTAAAATGTGGGTACTTGAAGCTTTCCACCATTGCCTCGTATTATAACTATATTTACACCAGCAGCAGACAGAAAAGTGGGCACTCACTTATGTCCATGAAACACGAGCTGTGACTCCTCTGTGATCTTCCACACTCGGACAGTGCCATCCCGGCCCCCGGCGGTCACACAGCGCTCACGACTCAAGCTGTCCAGCCCCATGATGGAGTCCTGATGTCCAAATCTAAAATGAGAACGGGTTTAGAAATGACACAAATTTTACACAAAACTTGTAATTTCATCAGTTACTGACAGCGTTTCAACATAGGCATTTTCATCCACGTTCCAGACTTTTACAGATCGATCATGGGACGCACTGTACAAATCGTGAGATCCTCTTCTGAACGAAAGCCCCTAGGAAATAACCGAACAAATTTATCTAGAACTAGAAAAGGGATATTATATACAAATGTAATACTCTGTAATATTTGCAAATGCAACTCTCTTGCAATGGTAAAGATATAGACTGCAAATAAAAATATATTTCAGTTTTAACAAGCAATATGATTTCCAACTGCAGACTCAAACAATGATCAATATCTTGACAAATAGTCAACAATTTACTATATTCAGTAAATGTGTAGTTGGTAAACTGTTCCAGATCTTGAAATTAATCCAACAAAACAAATGTCTGGATCTTAACAATAGTCCTAATTGACATAATCATTTCATTTTTATAGTTATAATATAAAACATTAATTATTTAACAACCAGTGTTGAAAGACGCAAGTTTAGGGTTAACTTACAGAGACTGGACCTTTATGTCCTGTAAACTTGAAGAGATGTTTACATGTGTCAGCTTCCCAAATCATGATTAGTTTATTCATATCTCCAGTAGCCTGCAAAATAATAATAAAAATTGTTAAACTATAAGTCCTTCAATCAGCAATTAAAATTTTCTTCAGAGGACTGCTGCTCACCAAATACTTTCCATCTGATGATATGGTCATACACAGGATACAGGCAGAGTGCCCAACCTGCTGATCTCCTGAGCCTTTTCTTACACCTTTAATTGTGTGTAGACGCCTTCCACTTGAAACATCCCCTAAAATGTACAATCACCATTATAAACAAGTTATCACATGGTTTGAATTTACTTATTCGCTCATGGATTGCTAATCTACACTCAATGGAATTGTATTTACCACAATATAGATGCCATAAACAAAGTCTACATGCACTTAGATACTGTTAACATTTAGGCACTGATGAAAAAATATATAATATATATGCATCCTCTATATGCACGTTCAGGCACTGGCAACCCAGGTTCAGCTGTGATTGCAGTATCTTTTTAAAACTGCAAGAGCTAAGGTACATACAGTTCTTTTATATTCATTCCAGTTTCGTCATGACTAGGGATGTAACAATAACCAAAATATCATCAAATCGGATAGTCAAAGTTCTCACAATAATATCATGGACCATCACAATATATTGAATTACAAGTCTCTTTGCTTAAATGAAGAGTTATGGTGCAGCAGTAGCTAAAAAAAACAGAGGGAACTACATAGACCATGATCCTTTGCTCCATTTCAACATAGACTACTTGAAGAAATAACAGTTTTAAGCACTTTTAAATCTTAGTTCTTTGGATTAAATCTTGTCAAGGCATTTTAAGAAAAAAAAGGAACATATTAACAGTTTTGTTAGCCTCCACAAAATATCACAATTAATATCATAATATGAGATGAATATTGTGAAAACATTGCATAAATATTGTACCGAGAGATTTGGATATTGTTACAACCATAATCATGAGCCTCCCCACCATATCATGAGCTTTCCCACAATATTGCAATAAATATCGTACGGTCAAGTTCATACCGTGACGATATCATAATGTGAGACTTGGATATCCGTAGTCATGACAAATTTTTACACATGCACTTAATACGTAAACTTGCTACATTAGAAGCATACATACATTTAATAATTGAGCAGTCTTTGGAGGCAGAAAAGATGTATTTTTCATCAGAGGAAATGACCAAACAGGTGACAGGAAGTTTGTGACCCCTTAAAACGCGGATTTCTGAGGAATCCGGAGGCAATAACTACAAAAAGGAGAATACACAATTACATTAGATGAATAAGACATCTTCAAATGTGAACTGCAATGTTAATATGCTTACATCTTTAGCAATAAGTCGTTGGAGTTTTCCTTTCTGTTCAAGCTGTAGTTTCACAATTATATCAGTTATTTATATATCAGTTATTTATATATATATATATATATTATATATATTATATATATATATATATATATATATATATATTATATTTATATATATATATAATATATATATATATATATAATACATTATATATACTTACAACTTCTTCTTGAAGCCTTCCTGCTATCAAATCTGTCTCAAAGGACTCATCATCTGCCTTTTTCTCTTCTGAAATGACATTAAACGTTAGTACTGGACATTAATGTTTAACACTACATGGTAATGACAATACAACTATTCACCTTCCTCTCTCAGTTGTTCAAGGTATTTTTTAGCCAATCTAAGCTTCTTTTCTTGGGGTGTTTCATCGTATTCATACTCTTCTCTAGCCTGTTTCTTCTTAGGTACAGCAGCACTATGAAAAATGCATGTATTATATAGAGATACAATTTTAAAGCAGTTAGCTAGTTATGTGGCTACTTGAGACCAACCTTTCCGTTTCTGAGTCGCTGGAGATTTCCTCGTTGTGTTTATTGGGTTTCTTAATTTTAGCATTAGCTTTACCACCAGTGTCTCCCTCATTCTGCAACAGAAATAAGTGGTTTGTGATCGTAAATACAACAGAGCACTACTGGCTCAGATGATTTCTCGGGTGGGTTAGCAGTCTCGACTAACAGCTCTCTTACCTTTCGTTTTGACGCTGTGTTTTTGCTCTTTTTAGCCAACTTGGGGTTTTCTTTTCCCTTAATAAAAAATGACGACGCCATGGCGCAGACGTCTTGGCGTCAGCTCAGAGTAAATTAGATCCCTTGCTAGCTCTCACTATCAACATTTAGAGCACATGGGTGCACGCACACGCCAACCAAACTAGGAAGTACAAGTGTACTGATCTGAATGCTCATTGGTCACACGTCCAGAAGTCCCACCTCTTGTGAAAATCGAGCAATGTCATTGGATGGATTATTATTTTGGTCGAGCAGGAAATTGTACTGTAGCAAAATACTTCCCTCGGGGAAGAAATTTTGAGCAATTTTGTTCCGCACCCAATTGTAAACATTTTAAAATTCAATACTCGTCTACATGTGAAAGTGCAAGTTGTGTGATGCTCTTGATAAATACAGCAACAGCATTTCCAACATATTTATACATAATGTCACAGCGCACGTTTCACAAATAAGCCTTTACTAAACGGGACCCATCCACTGTAGTACTGCAGTAGTAGTACTACTTCCTCTACTACGCAGTATTTCCATTTACTGCGCAGTCTTTGTCCTCAGAGACTGGCACTGCCGTTAATTCAGGAGGTCGAGGCAAACGGACAGGTGAGGTCCTTCACAGATGTTCCACACGCAGGAATACACGTGATTTTATCCCATCCAGACAGGAGTGTACCTCAGAGGCGGCAGGGGCATTGTGGAGACGAGTAGGAGGGGTCGGGCAGACGGGGGTGGGGATGCGACGTGGAAACCGGTGGAAACTAACTTCTAGCTGTGCTTTTTCCAGTTAAAAACATCTGGATGTGTTCATTCTGTAAATAGTTTAGTCTTTCTTGGTACACTTGTGAGCTGACATGTATTTTTCTCAGACCTAATGCCACCCAAGAGAGATGCGGGGGCCCCCTCCACATCTCCCCCAGTGAAGATGATAAAGATCGGTACAGACGGCCAGGAGTATGGCTGTGATCCAGATGAGAACAGGTACAGACTGACAGAGGAGGGCTCCTACTCCCCTTATGTTAACAATGAGGTGAGAAATTATAGTAAGCTCATATAACAGTTTTAAAATCCCTACACTGAGGTAATTCATTCTTGACTTCCTGTGACAGCAGAATGAACACGTGTTTGATGAAGACAACATTACCAGCACTGGCCTCAGAACAGACACCATCAGCCTGCTCATGAAAATAGAGCAGCTCCAAGCACAGCTCAAGTACGAGCGCAGGTGTAGGATTCTGGCAGAGAGAGAGCTAAGGGAGCTCAAAGGTACATTTTACTTTAAATTGAAACATCTAATAGAAGTACTTCATTTCAAGTAATATTTGCTGTCAGTGAGTATTTGAATAGGAAATGCAAAATAAACTTGACATTCCATTTCCTTATGGGTTCTAAGTAGACTAACCCATTATTGAAGCTCAATTATTTTATTCTGCCTTTACATACATGTGTTTTAAAGATGCAAATATAAATTTTATGGTGGAGAGTAGGCCTGTAGTGAAATAAATGTAAGATAAATAAGTTTAATGTCATACTGTGGAACATTCCAGGCAAAGCTTTAAATATTTTTATGAACATGAACATGATTTATATGAATTTTATGAACATAATTATAATTTTCGTTCTCCAGAGATGAACACCCTGATGATGCAGATGCGGCACACGGCCCATGAGCTGAGAGTGACTTTAGACCACGTTCTTCAGACAAATGAGCCTCCGGTCACACAGTCGAGCGCTGCGGACGAGTCCATGTCGTACATGTCAGAGCCCGACACAGACATCAGAGTGCCGCAAAACATCGCCCCCGAAGTGCACAGTATACCTCCTGTCAATCCAGTGCCGCCAACGATGCAGAATCTCCCAGAGGTGAGGGCTCAAAGAATATTACAAGATTTAAGAAGTTCAGATTACAAATGGGCCTAGTAATAAAGTGAATGTACCAAACTTTTTTTCTCCTAAATAAGTAAATTGTTTTTTCCCCCTAGAAAGTATTGTAAAAGCAGAACAACAAAAATCAGACCTCTATATGCTGTCTTTATCTAATTAGAAAACAATTTATCTGTTACAAATTTATAAGAAAGAGCCATGTGAGTTATTTTATGACAATTTGGGATGAGAACTGATTTGCTGTTTAAGGGTAGCCCACCCTGCTTCATGTTTCCATCTGAAAAAGCTATTCTAAAGCACTACTAGTGGACAAAAATTCATGCATGTGAATATACTAATGTGCCAAAGGGTCTGTGAGAGCTAGGAACAAGTTAGATAGATTTAAATAGTTCCTACTTTCATGGTTTGAAATTCAGGTACCCCATCTTTAAGAATCACAAAATGTAATAATTTTTGTAAAGTTCACAATATATTGCTTAATTTGTTTATTTATTTTTGCAGGATGATGAGAATTATTTATATCTGGCGGAAAATATTAGAGTGCCCAGGAATCTGTATGAGAGAATAGCAGAGATTGAGGACTATAAAAAGTACACGGGAGCACTGCTGATGATGCTTTTTGATAGAGACACTTTAGCCACACACTCCCTGCAGGGACGCAGGGGCACTCTCAGTGGATCAGACGACTCCCAAAAACCACAACTACCACCAGACATCCTGAGAAATATTATTGGTAAGCATTTTCAATTCATACTTTAATGCCATTCTGGTACTTTAGTTTAATACTTTTTCATTGTTTTCTCTTCAGAACACATTTCAAGTAAGTTTGGTGTTGACCATGGTCTTATTAAAACGGCCATCAGGACGAAGTTGAATAATGAGGACAAACTGTTCAAAAAAAGGCATGGGTTAGGCAAATCTGAAAACAAAATACCTCCTGTGTATTGTCCAGAAATATTAAGAAAATCAGAGCCTAAAATTGAACCCGCCTTTTTTCCACTGCTGCCTGACCCTGACGACAATGGAGGTGATTTACAGCAGTAATGTTTTGTTCAAATGAAGACTTTTGCCTTGGTTCACTTATGTACAACTGTTATAGTATTGTTCAGCACATGTAACACCACATTACTCTTAATTTACTGTTTTTCTCGACCTCTAAAGCAGAAGTATTTGGCACCTGTCTCGTCCACTGTGTGCATTAACTTGTGACCAAACAAAGCTGTTTAACAGCATCTTGAAATGTAGTTGAACTAAGTGTTCTTAATACGGTTTACTTCTTCAAGCTCGTAAATGTCTCTATCAGGTTTGTGACTTTTGTCTTGGTGACTGTATACAGTGCATAGCAATAGTCATATAGAGGCCTTAGAGTGTAATAGACTGAAAATATAAAGGATGCAGACGTGTGTCCAACTTGTGCATTACAAAGTGATACTGTGATATTACATGCATATTTTGAACGTTTCTATGTAATGCTACAATAATCTCTTGTTAATCGACACCTCTCACTGTGCGGATGTATTTTGTTACATATGGTTCAATAAAAGTCAAAAAGCAAAGTTTGTTTTTTGTGCAATGTTGTGTACTACAGATGCATCTGGTCTATTTTTGGTTATCCACTAGAGGTCGGCACTGAGCTTCACTACGTCCCTGTCAGTTTTGACTTTATTTTTCTTCATAAACATCATGTTCTAGCTGTTGTTGGCAACAATATGTCTTGGCTTTTTGTTTCATATTAAACTTTGAATACACATAAATGTCTATATGTATTTAATTTTCATTCATTAAATATATATTATATAATATAAAAAAAAAATCTGATTGTGGAGGGAGACAGGACAGTTCAGATCAGAGTTAGCTCCACCTCTGGTCATCCTAAACCCACCCCCTTTGCTGTGGACAGTGCACTCTGTGGACCTCAGCGCATCCCCCCGATATCAAGACAGCTCCAAGGGGACACCATCCTTGGGGAAAAAAAAAAAAGTTTGTCTTTTACAGGAATCTGGATAGGATTTTTATAATAATAATAATAATTATTATTATTATTATTATTATTATTATTATGGGTTTGTGTTTAAAATTTTGATCTTATTCTTATCATAAAAAAGCTATTGGATTTTTATACTGGAAAATTGCAGAGAAGAGCCATTCTGAAACAGGTAGAACTTTTGCTTATCTTTTTTTAGTTTTATTGAATGTATATTTTTATACCTATCAGGTATTTTCATTCATGGTTATACTGTAAAAGTCTATATGTTGCAAATATTGTTTATCACTTTTTAAAAATGTAAATGCTGTATATATGGACAGTTATTCTGATGTTTAAACCAACCATGACCAGGAATTTAGACCTTGTTGTTATTATTTATACTAGATTTTGACTGGAAATTGTTTTATAATAACTGTCACACTCACAGATGGGGTTAAGAGTCAGTTTTCCCTTTTGATAACATGGTATTTTAAAGATAAATTCACAAATGTTGAACCTGATCATTTGTATCAGTAACTACATCTAAAACATCTTACAAAAAAGTCTGAATTTTATCAACATTAATTAGAGCTGACCTCCATCTGTATTAAATATTATTATGCTGGGGTATGAGATGATCTCAAACCCATAAAATCCTTACATAATATAGATGCACATGTAGCTGTTTCCCGTGGGGTTAAATAAACATGTCAGGGGCGTTCCAGCAGGAGATTATGGCTCTCCATCATTTACTCATTGGCAGCAACAGAGCACATGGATTTAGGACACCAGACGGAAACCGGCCTCTCCAACATTTTTTTTTTTTTTAACAATAGAGTGCACCCATGTTTATTTTTTTGGTGGTGAACAAGTCCATTGACCAGTTTTGGCCAGATGTTGCCAAATTCACAAATGCCACATTTATTTTAACTAATCAAAATATACTTGGCCTTAAAATTGCATATTTGTGCTTGATTCAATTTTGATGCTTGTTTTTATTGATCAGAATTACCCATGCATCTTTACTAAGCAGGGTTGCTTCTCTACCGATCTGACCTGTAAGTTGGCCAAGTGCCTTCACCTGCTTGTCTCTATGGACATACATTATTTTAATATCATAGTACATCTTTAAACAATTGAGATTCTGTGCCATTTTATTTACACTTTTTTTTCCCATGATTATTTCTGCTGAATTTGTTCCAAATGCATTTTTTTTAGCTGATTCAGTGTACTTTTATAACATTCAGTGATTATAAGGCCATAGCTGTTGGTGGAGGAGTCTTCTTTATTCTTATAGCACACAGCAGTGACAGTGAACACATACTAATCAGAAGCCTTATGCAGCTGGCCTTACACAAGCCCACTCAGTATCTTCCATGTCAAAGGAAACAAATGGAGCCATGGGGTGCACAGAGAACACAGTGGACAGGAATTATTCCTAAATAAGAGATTTTACACCAAGTGAAAATAGTTCAATAAGTCTAAGTATGATTCAACTAAAAGGAAAAAAGTGTGTGTCTCAAAAGTACAAGTGTATAAACTCATGGGTCAGGTTATCTATAAATATTGTTAATTGGAAATAATAATATACATTTATATAATTATGCCTTATTTGACAGTGCCCTTTTGCTATGTTTGCTTATTTTGAATGTATTATTACCATTTATATTTTTACTGTTTGTTCCTATAATTGTGATGTGTGAGCTCAGTGTCCAAACAATTTTCCTTGTGGATCAATACAATTTGTCTAACTACAGAAGGATCCAATAGCAACCTATTACTACTATTACTATTATAAGAATAAGAAGAATATTATCAGAATATGAAATTGTTTAGTTTTACTTAAGTCTATACTTTTAATAGTTATTTATTTTTCATTCCATATTTCTATTGTATTGCTGTTCTTGAACTTTGAGTTGCCACATTGAAATTTCTCTATTGTTGGACAAATAAAGATTCTCTTAGCTTATTTTATTTATTTATTTATTTATTTTTACACAGAGAAGCTCTACAGACCCACACTTTCAAACCCAATGGAGACAGCAGGAGTACATTTGTACGATCTACAGTCATGAGCGATGGAGGAGAACAGGTCATTTGTGAGTCCTGACTACAATGACAGTATCGTAGTATTGGTGCCTCTACCTTCACTCCCCAGCAAGCAACACAGCACCACTAACACCTCCCAAACCTCCTTCAAGGACCTGATTGGTTTATTTTTCATGGTGATTCTGAATGTGCTTGCGCTTGTGGCAAATACTGCAGTCCTGGTGGCAGTCGTCAAAGCTCCTCACCTCAGGAAGTTTGCGTTTGTGAGTCATCTCTGTGCAGTAGACCTGTTGTGTGCCGTGGTGTTGATCCCTCTGGAGATCCTGGTCAGCTCTCCGTACTTCGCTGGGGTGCTCTTCACAATTTTGGAGTGTCAGGTAATTATTGTCATCCAAAACAGGTCCATTAACTTTCTGTTTAAAACAGTAGAACTATCTGGGAAGTCCAGTCTCTTCACTGTAGCATTTGAATAAAAATGCAATTTTGAGTAATACAGTCTTAAAAGGACACTGTTATTACAGGGTGAAAGTTCATAAAATGTATTCGGTTTGAAATAATCAAAATGAGGTGGATTGTACAGAAAAATTACTTTATGGATTACAAAAAAAAAAGGTGACGTGAACATAACTTGTGAACGTAGTGTGTGAGTGATTTGTGGTGGTCAGAGGAGGGGATAGCACAGACTGGCAGCCAAGCATCAGTCTAACCCAGTACAGCAGTGTAGAGTGTGGACAGTAAATAAAAAATGACTTCTTCTGTGTTTTGAAAGGCTTATGAAGCTTGTGAAGCATAACAAATGCAATACAAGCACATTCCTAGTTTGTGAATTTAGCTCACTGACAATGGCAATAAAACTATTCTGATTTTGATTCTGAAATTTAGACATTGTGGTTTTTTTTACAACATTGTATTTTTCTTTCAGTTGTACATCTTTGTTAACGCAACCCTCATTGCTGCCTCCATCTTCACCATCACCGTCATCAGTGTGGAGAGGTACTACTACATCGTGCACCCCATGCGCTACGAAGTGAAAATGACGCTCCGCCTCACCTTTGTTGTCATGGTGATGGAGTGGCTAGCTTCACTGGCTCTTGGGTTGTCCACTGTTTTCGGCTGGCACTCCTCCAGTGATCTCAACACTATTCATCCAGCTTACTGCGTACTACACTGGGAGCGAAGTAACCAAAGACAAGTCTTCTCTGTGCTATTCTGTGTCGTGTGTTTTCTCGTACCAGCGCTGGTCATTTTCTCAGTCTATTGTAGTGTTTATAAAGTGGCAAGAGTCGCTGCCCGCCATCATGGACCTCTGCCTTCCTGGACACAAAGCAAGCAAAGATCTGACTCAATCAACAGCCAGACCACCATAATCACAACACGCACTGCTCCTCTAAGAATTGTGAGGGAGCGGCCTTTTGGAGGAGGGAAAGCAGCTCTTACTCTTGTGCTCATAGTGGGACAATTTCTTATATGCTGGCTCCCTTATTTTGCCTTCCACTTCCATGCCAGTGTCAGCACAACATCTAAAATCCCAGGTGACTTGGATAAAGCTGTCACCTGGTTGGCATATACCTCCTTTGCCATGAATCCTTTTTTCTATGGACTCCTGAACAGACAGATCAGAGAGGAGCTGTGCAAACTGAGGCGATGTTATGCAGGACTCCCCACAGATTTGGTGTCCAGTCACGAGGGGTCAGGGCACGAGAACTTCCTCCAGTTTCTGCACCGGACGAGTTGCACCATGGACACTAGAGAGAGCTTCACCGCCTCCAGCCCCCGCAGCACACTGGACCAGACCGGACAATGCGGGTTTAGGATACCGGGGCAGATACCCGAGGAGTTCACATAGACTCATCAGATGACAATGTAGTCGATCTGGGACACAAAAAATATCTAATAAATGTATTAATCCCCTGGTCAGGATCAGAAGAAGGCCAGGCAGTCTTGTGTCAGGACAGTTTGATTGAGGTAGTAAAATCCCTCAGGACAAAGGTGTCCTTCCTTCCAGCCTGGACATTAGAGCCGTATTGAACTTGAATAGGCTACACTGTACATACGCAACTTTCATAGATTTCCTTGTGTTTTAATGGTTAGCTCCATGATTTAAGCAAACTATTCTGGTCTGTCATGTCACCATTAAAACTGAAGAGAATAAATGTTTGATGGATGTTATTATACCAATTCTACAACCTTTTTACCTTTTTTTAAAGTACAGAATTACATATTTATGGATGTACAGTATTTTCCTTCATTGTGACAATATCCAGTGTCTGTTGTGTCTTTTCAGATATTGTGACTGGTCCAGTGCACATGGTTATATAAGAAGAAAATACCATTTCGTAACAGCTCAATGGGCTGCACTAATACCTGTTAAATATGTTTACAGAAGATTACCATCATGTACATTTATGAGCATTTTCTTTACAATTACACTGTCTCACACATGTCACATGTAGCACTTATAGAGGTCTACACATACTAGTAATGACACAACAGTAGCCTAAGCAATAGTAGAAGAAATGTTTGAACACTCAACTATGGTAAGTTCACGAACAAATGCAATCCCACCTGAGCATCACTTTTGATACATGTATATTTCATATTATCAATTGGAAACAAATTTTGTACATTTGCAGTTTTATCACTGGTTCACTTTGTATTTCATATATAAACTGAACTGCCAGACCAGCTATGAGATTGAAGTAAAGTACATGATAAAAATGCATTGTATGTAAATCATGGTACTACCAGTTTCAAAGGCAGTACAGCCTTTCCATGAAGCTGTCACAAAGTGTGCCTCTAATGAATTTTGAGCTGTCCACACAGGGAACATTGCTAATGAAGGTGAAGGGTCTCCTTTATTCTGCCAAGACAATCACACACATTTGTACGTCCATATTGATCCCACATCAAACAGCCCCTCTCTCTTTTGAAAATGATCTGCAACTCCCAGTGAAGTGTGCTTTGCTATTCAGTGGATAATGGTAAATGTACCTTCTGCCTGCAATTGGGTGCATGTTGTTTAATGAGATCACTCCACTCAAATCAAAGAGACGGGACACTGCTAACACTGTGAGTGTAAAGAACAACAGGGCTTTTCCTGGAATAAGCCACTTATAGAGCAGATTGTCCTGAATTATTTAACATAATATACAGATACTTTGTGCTAAGTAGACCACAGCATCAGTTTGGGGGATTAGGTGTGTGTAGTTGGAATAATGGCACCATTTGACCTCTTGTTCTGTACACATCGGCACTGACAGATGTAGAATATGACCTACATCATTTCAGTGAATAATGAACATTTTGCACAGTTGCCATAGTGATTACAAAACAAAATATAATATCATCTGAACTGGAAAAAGCCAACGTCAAGTCAAAATGTTCTAGTGGAGGGTTCACCATCTGCTTGTCTACAGACATCTTATTGCTTTGCTTCCAGAGTATGGCATTACATTTATATGTCTTGAATAAAGATTTTTCATATATCTCAAAAAATAATGTATTCTGGCTGTGGACTGGGTTGTAACTTGGCTCGGTGACATTGTCTGCTTGTTTTCATGGAGATAGAAATAAAAGTTAAATGCCATACTCTGACGTACCGGTAAAAGCAATAACAACTCCGTGGAGACAAGCAGGTGTTGGACCCTCCCAGACCCAGATTGATTATTCTGCACCTTTTTTACTTGTTATACATTATTTATATTTTGATGTCATAATCAGCCACCACCATATTCACAAAAGTGCCACAACCTGGAAACAAGGTGAAGGTGAAGGTGAAGGACAAGTTAGACAAGAAGACTTTGGTGACTGATTCATTGATTTAGTGATTCTGCCTAAAGACTGTAAGAACAAGATGTGTTGTGTTCCAGATCCACTCACTATCTCCATGACATCACCTGTTCAGTGGCAGTGGGCACAAACACAGTCCATATGTTCAGGTGAGAGGCCATTAGCATACCTCTGTCTCCGGAGCTAACAGTGTAAACAGTGGAACGCCTCGGCTCAAAATAGTAACACTCATATACAACAATCTGTCACAATGTGTTTTTGTTGACGCTTACCAGTTTCATTAAAGAAATGAACTAACTGAACAATATGATTCTGTTTAAGCACACTCAAGGTGCGTTAATCTCAAGACCAGGCTATTAAAGAAAAAATACAGTATCTATAGTACACATGTGCATCTGAAATCTTAAAATAATTTGACAGAATTCCTACATACATTTAGACATATGAATAGATTGCCCATACTACAATATGTTGAAGTAAAATTTTTAAATTAAAATGTATAAAAGGGTGTGACAACTGTTATGTCAACTGTTGTAAAGAAATAATTTATTATACTATTAGAAAATATTCACTGTAAAATGTGCATTATCTTTCACAATAAATTAAATTTTACAAGTGAAATATAAAAACACTGCATTTTTTGTGAATCACCACAGATTATAGTAGGAATGCACCAATACTGATACTGCTATCAGATATTAGTGACAATCCAGGCAATTTTGGTTTTAATTCATAGAGCAAAGGTGTCCAAACCTATCCACATATCTAAACACAGATGAACCAGAGGGCTTTTATTGAGGGCTGTAGACTGGTGCTCAGTACAGTGAATAATTGAAATGTGTGCATGTTTAACACGTTAGAATGAGCCATCAGTCTTTATTCATGCTAAGATCCTTAAAACCACACACTAAATATTAAATATTAGCTTTATCCTGGCCTGGTAGATTTTCAAAATAATGTGCAGTAAAAAGTACATTTTTTATTGATGCAAGGTCATTTGGGCTTATTCACCTGGGAGCCATAGTCTGGACATGCCTATTATAGAGGGTCCATAATCTCTTGTCTCCATGGAAACGTTGTTTTGGAATGTTCCACGGTATGACATTAAACATAGCCATCTAGCATTTATTCATTACAAGTGTTTCTATTACTCAAAAACACAATAATTCCTTCTGTGAATAGGGGCGACTCTCCACAGATCTGAATTGTAATATAGTGCTGTAACCTGCTTGTTACCCTTATGATAGATAGGTTTAATCTGTACTGTGGAACACTCTAAACAAAGCAATAATATTTTCATGGAGGCAAGCAGGTGACAGACCCTCCACTAGAATTGTTACATAGAGCACCTTTAAAGCCACAGTATTTATAACCTTATCAAATCTGAAAATGTTGAAGTATTGATTATATTACTAAATATTCCATCTGAAATCATTAAGGATAATTATTTACAACAGAAGCTACAACTGTTTCACTAATTCTATTGAGCTTTGGCTATCTTTGAGTTAATACACACCACAAGGACAATAAATATTTGAACTCATACAGCACATTTTTCTAACAGGCAGGTGACCCGAAGTTGTCACGATAGAGTGATAAGGTATATCGTCAGTAGGAGCAGTGGTCCAGCGGTTAATGGGTCCAAAGGTTGAAAGAGTAAAGTGTTTGGTGTGAAAGGAAAAGAAGGCTGTGTTCAGAAGCTGGATGAGCACGGTTACAGGGGAATGACCCTCACTCACCCACACTGGAGGAGAGCAGGGAGGAGGGCTCTCTCATTCTCTTCTTTGTCTTCATCTTCTTCAAACTCAGAATTCCTGCAAGTTCATGAATAAGGAAATGCCACTATAATTTTAAGTTGGTTGCTGCTGTAATAAAACATGACCATAGGTAGATTGTATAGAGATGCTGCAAGAGTAGAAATTGGAGTATGCTTTGCTGCCATCTGGTGTCAAGTTTCATAAGTTTCATATGCTGTTGATAGTACAGTGGCACTAGTCTATTATAAAAAATCAGTGGGGTATGTAAAATAGGCCTATAATTAACTACCTATAATAAACAAATGAATGAATAAATAAATATATAGGCCTACATATATAAGTTTGTCAACACAATCTAGCAAGTCTTCCAATGAAATTCTCCTATATGATATGGGGGAGTATGTGGGAGTATGATATGGGCCCTGCATGTGTTTCCAGTCAATATGAATCCAGAGCCATTTCCGTCCTGTATTTATATCACCCTTCGTATCCCCCCACATTTTGACTCGGGAAAATGATCTTCAGTTGACAGCCCATCTGCAAATACCAACTGGGGCACTGTAACGTTCCCAAAATAACCCGGGATTCACACACAAGACGCGCGCGCACACAGACAGCTACTCCCAGGCTTTTGAACTTTTCGAGCTTGGTCCATTGGTTGTGTCATTTCCTCCTCTTCACATGTGGCTATGGAGAACGTGAGAAAAGGGGAGGAATCGGAGGAGGTAGAGATCGACTTGGATTCCAGCGATGAGTTTGAGAACGGAGAGGATCCTGAGGTTTTGTGGAAGAAGGCGCCCCCTGTGTTTGAAGAAGAGGAGAACATTCACACGTCGGCTTTAGTGGAAATCAGTGACACCAAACCATTGATAAATTCCAGAGATCCGAGAGGCATCAATGACACTCTCAAGGTAGCCTACACCTTTTTAGTCAATTTTATAAGGAGTAAGTTGCAGTAAGAATGCATATTTTTCAATTATGTCTTAATTTTATTTACTTATTTTATGTTGTTTCAATAATAACACCATACTAAGATAAGTTTAAGCCATACTGTGGAACATTCCATGCCTACCAATAACATTTCCGTGGAAACAATACAGTAGCCTGATTCATCAGCCAGTTTCACTTTGTTTCACTTTGTGGAAACCATCTGACCTGGCAGTGTTAGAATTCATTTGCTCGGCAGTAGGTGGGAACTTTTTTTGTTTAACCAATCGCTGCTATTTGGTCATGACATATGTAATGCACCACTAACGGGGCTAAATGGTATATTAAGCTTTTCCCAAATACTGTAGGAAGAAAGGCAATAATGTCTTTCCCCTTGATAAAATTCACCAATCGTTTTCTTTGTTCCAGCTTTAAATGCTCGATTTCGGGAATCGTTGACAAGACTGAATATATGGCTCTTCGATGATTGGCTGGTGCCCGAACTCGTACTTCTGGGGTTTTTGTGAACATCTATTGTATTTTGATTCCTGACCTAGTTGCTGGAGAGAAATTAAATTGAGTGGAGGCACTAGGTGGCACCCGCCTGGCTCCCAGACAAGTGCATCTTTGAATGAACAGGTTTAATAAATTGAATTTGAATGTGAAAATATTGCAGCATTAATCATAATGGTAAAAACAGGCACATGACGAGGCACATTAACTTACTCACCTGTGTTCAATTATAAATGTGTTAAAAGCCACAAACAAAGGGATAGCTCATGATGAAAACAACCTTAAGCTAAGCTGCTTGAATGTGTTGTGTTGTGTTGTATAGGTGACATTTGAGGACGTGATTGCTGAGCCTGTGTCCGTGCGCAGTGGGGACCGTGTTTGGGTGTGGAGCCACGCCCTGTTTGAAGTGTCCCGGGTTTGGATCTACAGAGTAGTGTCTGTGCTGCTGGCCATCCCTCTGTCCATCATCACTGGACTGCTGTTTGCCCTGCTCAGCTGCCTGCACATATGGTGAGCACTCAGGAGGATATACATGCCTGCATCTATACATAGAAAACTATGATTACATATAAATTCATTGCAATTACTAATATTACTACTATGAAGCTGAGTTGGTAACATTCATGGTGAGCTTCCTTTTTCTCACGGTTTATAGAAATTGGGGCCAAAATCTCCTTGTCAAAGCTTGCTCTTGTCAGATCTTAGAATTAAATGAATCTTATGAGGCAAACAAGTTTGAGCTTGGTTAGTACTTGAATAGGAGACTGCTGGGAATACCAGGTGCTAGTGGGGCACCAGTGACAAAACTCTTGGTGTGTTCTTAGGCAAGACTTCCCCCACCCACAGTATGAATGTGAGAAGGGGGTCAGAAGGGGTCAGTTGGGATGATGATGCACATTGGCAGCCTCGCTTCCGTTAGTCTGCCCCAGGACAACAGGAACATATTACCACAAAGTAGAGAAGAAAGCAACTTTGAACATCTGAAAAAGAGTTACATAAAACTAATTCATTATTTGTATTATTATTGTTAACATGCACAAAGTCTTCGAATAAATCTCCTCTGACTCAAATGGGACCACCCCCCTAGTTCTGAGCAGGGCTGGGAAGCAGAGGGTCTCTCCCGATTCCATTCAATACACGATACATGGCTCAAGGTACTATAAGATCACGATACTGTGATACATACATTAAATTATTGATATATATCATATGATACATCTTTTAAGATAATTTATCTCCAAATTTAAATCAGAATATATCGATAAACTGTCCTTGTCCTGAACATGTGACTGGATGCATTCTCAGACATGTTGTGAAGTATATACAGAGTTCATTTGTGCTGTGCCACATTTTCTATTACCTAAACTTATTTATTTACGTTAATTCTACATTTGATGCCACCTTAAGAATGTAAAGTCCATTGTTACTACACATTCACAATAAGGAGCCTCTATGTTATAATCACACCATTAAGTTTTCCCTGTTTTAGGATGGTGGGCCCGTGTATCCAGTGTGTCCTGATTGGCACTCATTGGCTGCAGAGTTTGTGGAGTATTGTGATGGAGGTCATAGTTCAGCCCCTCTTCACCAGCGCTGGACGGTGCTGTGGAGGGTTCAGCATTCACTTGGCCAAAGAATGACACCAATAAAAGAACTTTGGTAGATTTTTTGTTTACGTTTAGGGCAATATAGATATTAATTTTCTTTCTTTCTTTCTTGCTCTTTTTTATAGAAATTTAAAAATACTATGTGGTTAACCAATTTGATCCTGTTGTCAAGATTAAGATTATTTTCATATTATTTTACATTTGTTAGCATTTTTTATTTGATTGACTGAAAAAAATTATCAAATACATTTTGTACAATTATCACATTAGGTTATGCATACATATCTAATATGTAACACAACACTTGAGTTGAAACATGTTGTTAAAATAAATTAGGACTTAGGAACCGTCGAAGTGTCTCTGTGTTCTTTTCCAACTGTTTAATTATTTTGGGCACTCAGAAATGTAACACTATCTGTAAATTACATGTGGAGGGTCCATCAAATACTTTTCTCCACAGAGGTGTTATTGCTTTGTCTGAAATGTTGCACATTATGGCATTAAACCTTTCTATCTTTATGGAGACCAACCCAGATCAAGTCACAGGTCAGATCTGTGGAGAGGTGACCGTATAGTCAGAATGCCTGTTTTTCTAGGTATTTTTGAGCTATAATACCACCTGTAACTGAAACATACAGAGTTATTGAAAGTTTTTAAATAATAAAGTAACCCTCCCTTAGACACCCCCCCTCCCCCCTCTCTTTCTCTCTCTCTCTTGCCACACCTATATGACCACTGCCCCATTACAGAATGCAGAGCCTAGATTTGAATATCTCCACAAATAGGACTGTGACTATTTTTATTATTGAGCCAGCACTTTCATTGAGCTTTGTGAAATGCAACATGAGCCTGCTTCCTGCTTTAAGAAATACTTGTCACTGAGGTACCAATGAAGGACCAATGGGCGTGACTCTGCTTATGAGCTGGGACAGTGCTGGAACTGCAACACTGGGTTAGAGAAGGACAGTAAAGTTTACTATTGCTGCCAGGGTTTTCTCTGTGTACAATTTTGGAATTATATAATAACACCAAAATGGACATCCCTGATTTGAGCCATGATGAAGCGCAGAAATTCAGGAGGGACAGTCGCACCAGAGAGATAGACCTCATCAACAGAGATCCCAACCAAATCAACCAGGATGTAGTCAAGGTATGAGTCTTATTTTGTGAATTAAAAAAAAAAAATAATAATTTCTGAACCTATATGCGTTATGGGTTAAATTTGGGCCAATATGACACCACCATTTAGATGTTAGATTTTGAACCAAAATATTTCTATGCACTTTGGTAAATATTTCTAAACCTTATTAACTGAGTGTCAAATTGAGTGCAAAAATGCATTAGTCTATCTGCCATACAGTTTATCTTATCAACCCGTGCATACCATATTAAAAGAAATATTTTTTCTTCAAATGGTCTTTTCCATACAGACTTGTCAAATCTATGCTAGTTTGTTATCTTAATCTTGGAAAGCGTCATACCAGTAAGAGTTTATCTTGATGCTAGTGTTTTGATTACATGGTCACACAACTGTATTTTGACTTCATTTAGATAAAGGCAAATTTGTGAAAACAGAGGTCATAATAATATTATCATTAACAAAACTTGGCCCTGGCAGAGATGACTAAATAAACAGTCTGTATTGTGTAGAATAATGTCAGATCATAATAGTATTATCCCCTCACTCTTTTCTGTGGCTCTAGGTGGAGTTTGAGGATGTGATTGCTGAGCCCTATGGCACTCACAGTTTGGACGGTGTGTGGAAGGCCAGCTACACCACATTCACAGTGACCAAATACTGGTGCTATCGCCTCCTCACCGCTCTCCTGGGTGTGCCTCTGTCCCTGCTGTGGGGGGCGCTCTTCGCCTTCCTGTCCTTCTTCCACATCTGGGCAGTGGTCCCCTGCACCAGGAGCTGCCTCATAGAGTTCCAGTGTTTGGGGCAGATGTACTCTCTGGTGTTGCACACGTTTTTAGACCCGCTTTTTGAGGCACTGGGAAAGATATTCAGCAAAGTCAAAGTGGCATTACGCAAAGAGGTGTAAAAATTTCATTAATGGACATTTCTGTAATAGACAAAGGCATATGTTATGAGTGACATTTTTAATTCAAGCTGTATAATGTGTGTTCTTGTTTGAGGGGCAAAGGGGGACACAACAAAATGTAATGTCATTTTGAACTTATTTGACTACTGTTACATTACATCACATGTTTAAAGAAAATACATGTGTTTGTTATTAAAAATCAGTTTAGTCAAATATTTTAAATCTACAAGGAAGTTTATATCCCACATATACATACACATATATAGCTACACAAATATAACATAACAGTCTAATGGTTATTTTTTTATGATCCATGTTTTTGTTTTTATTTGTTTTTTTTAAACACAGCAGACAGTTATATTTCATGTCAATATAACGTGTCAGATGGTGACACATGGTGTATTTACAGAATATGTTCAACAGGGGGAGCCCCTGCATTGGTGTGTTTATATTGTACAAAGGCAAGTATTGACAATCAAAAGAAGATAGGCTACTGCATGGGTATGTGAATTTATATGCATTTGAAGTTGTGAGTTTTTATCAAATCACATTTTAATTAGGCTATACCTTCATATGTACAAGGAGAATCACAAGGTGCAGTATGAACCTATAGTTTTTATTCAGGCCTTTATCATAGCCTTTATATAGTCTTAGGTTAGTTTAGCATGTTGGGTGAACATCAAGGAAAAACCTAAAGAAAGTCTGAGCTGTTTGAAACGAATGAAATAAATCCACACGAACACCTTACAAGCTGCAACGACGGATCAAACGTGTTCAGTGATCAAACGTTGCCTAATTATTTACTTTGAAAGGCCAAGGGCTTTAAGTTTTCGTTGGGGTTTAGTCTGTATCCACAGTCAAAAATCTTGTCATGTCCTTCACTGAGTCTGTCCCCCGGTGCTGGAAGTGTGCGTCAGGCTCCGCAGGCTGCACGCGGGCTTGATGGTGTGCGTGGACGCGCGGCACTTGTGTCCGCACTTTCTGTCACAGCTGCACGTGGACACTGACAGGTACCGGCCACAGCAGCAGAAGAGGCACTGCGCCCCCTGGTGGAAGAGGTGCCCCGCGAAGAACATGTAGATCCAGGGGTTACAGCAGCTGTTCAGACTGGCCAGCAACATGGAGATGATGAAAGCCATTTCTGAAGACACAGACACATGGGGGCAGTTAGAGACATGTTCCTTAAATTTACAATAATTTGATTAAATGTGGCCTGAGAATTATTAAAGTACAAGATTCAAATTCATGTTGACAGGCTCTAAACAAGAAAAACACACTGTCCTTAAATGCAATATTATTTGCCCAGTTTAGAAAAGTAACCATGACTGATGTGAACTGGGTGTATTATGTAACTTAACTGGTGGAGGGTCTTTCACCTTCTTGTCTCTATGGCATTAAATCTATATATAGCCTATTGCATTTTACAAGTAACAGGTGTTTTTATAGCTGAAATAGTATTTTTGAGTGGGTTCGCCACTCCACAAGTTTTCAATCAATAAAACTTTATTTATAAAGCTCTTTTCATACAAAAATGTAACACAAAGTACTTTACAGTGATTAAAAACGATGCCACAAATTTTATATCTTTGTAGCTGGTGGCTCCACTTGCTTGTCTTCATGGAGATAAACAATTTAAATGACATACTGTGTCACTTTCTAGGCAAAACAATCTTCACCAGAAAAGCTACATATGTGCCCCGTTAAAACTCACTGATTTGTGCGTATAATTGTTCATTTACAACATTTAAAATTAAGTCTAAAATATCCTTTTATTTATTTGTTGTGCAGTATTTTTACTTTATTTTATTTTATTTGCTATAATTAAAATGGACACTTATGTAATATTTCTGGCAAGAGTAATTGGCCAGGGATTTCAATTCCAAATATAACTTGAACAGAACATATTCTGATAACCTAAAACAGACAAAGCTTTGGGGATCCCCTGCATTCGTTGATATGCACGCTCAGACTCCTTCTCACATCAAATACCATAAGATTTGGCTTCAAGTTTTCGACAGATGGGACAAAATCTTCCCATATAGCTCATGTCCAAATCAACAGATACATTTGGTATGAAAAGCATATCAGGCCAAATCATTACTAAAAAGTAAACATATTTTTCTGAATGTGACAATAAACAAACCATTATTCATTGAAAAGTGAATAGGCAATGAGAAAGTCATCCTCTCCCTCTTATTGGCAGGCTAATGTTGTCTATGCCACATAAAACTGATGCATATTGGCAGAACAAATGTATTTGATAAATATTTTCTATTTCAAAGGGCTGTCTATTAGATGAATAAACATGTTGTATTGAGTATTTCCAGTCACTGCTCTTCGCGTAATGTGGAAAGTGAACGATGTCCAAGTTCAACAGCAGAGACGGTAAGATTTACTGCATATTGTCTTCTTTGAAAATGCTGACTGGTTCCATTCTTACAAACATTATTCCTGTGAGTCAATGTTATAGAATGGCCCAAACAAACAGCTTTGATTGGAGTTGTTGTGACAGATAGGAAATATGAATAAAATAGCAATATTTTCATTATATTTTATGGCAGCTTCCTGTTGTTTTGTCAGTAAAGTGGATAAGAGGTCTGAAAATATCTCATAGCACAGTTGTTTCAGAGCTAAAAAGTTAAGACAACATTAAGATTACCACAAGATTATCAGTTGACTTGGACGAAGTGATGACAGGACTTGATACGGGAGGTCCCAAAAGAAGATTGGTTACCACAAATAGTGAGAAAGCTTACTGTGTACATTGGTTCAGACATAAAAATATAAATATAGACCGCAGCAACCATAACCATCTGGTTGCCCACGACGTTCATCTGTTATAGATTACACATTCACATAAAATTTAGGAAAAGTATATTTTAAAAGTAGGGTATGTGGCCTGCACGTATGTTTAAAAAGCAGCTATCACAACTGAATCTGGGTTGCCAGTGTATTAAAGGGCCCATATTATGCTATTTTCTGACTCATGTTATAATATTTCCTTATCACAAACATACCTGGAGTTGTGTTTTGTTCCATTCACACCTGTTTAACACACAAATCCTTCATTTTTAGGCTAAGTTTGTCTCTCAAACAGAAAACACTCTGTTGCACCTTGTGATGTCATGTGGTAATACAGGAAGTGCTCCACTATGTTTTAAACTCCATACATTTTCATTAGAGCTACATTTCAGCCCAGGAATTACCAATCTCTACTGAACTAAAGGTAATAGGTAGCTGTTGACTTGAAAACTACTTCTACATGACATCACAAGGTGGAACAGAGCATTTTCAGCTTTGGAGATATACAGACTAATAATGCAGGATTAGTCAAACCTATATGAATGAAACAAAGCTGAATGATGGGTATATTTTTTTAAGAAGGTAACTACATTTTAACAGCTTAAAGTTCACAAGATTCAATTTTGTGTAATACAGGAGCATTGACTGTCATAGGGGATAAATTCCTTATTCTCAGTGCCTCATGTGAAAACTCTGAACCTCCACAATTCACTCATTGAGCTACAGATGCTGCACTGATTAATGATTAGCTGTGAGGGCTCAGAGCAGAGAGAGTGCATATGTTTTAACCAACTGGATTTTGCGGTAAAAACTGGCAGTCCAAAGTGAGACTTTTTCTGGTTTCTGATTGGATAATTGTCTTCAGAAGCAAATATCACACATCATCAAAAATAGGCCTAAATCAACATTACAACTGGCTATCTGCTAGAGCAATATTTGACTTCCTATGTTTACTGCGTATCTAGGGACACAGCCAGGTCATGTTCATGGAATTTGAAATGAAAATGATTGGCCTACGTACTCAGCTCTTTAATATGACTTTTTATGGCACTCTAGAATACTTTTTGTCATTTCAGCTGAGACCTCACTCAATATAAGACTAACTGGAGCGTGTAACGTAACATGGAAACGTGTGAATTTCTTGTTGGTATAAACTGACCTTCTCTGGGAGCAGCCGGGTCCCAAGCAGACCACATTTGGACGGAGAAGAACGGGGTCCAACAGACAATGTACGCGAGAACCACCACGAAAGTCATTTTAACTGTGCGGATCTTTGCCTTGGATATGAGTCTGACGCTGCTCACGCGGGACAGGTGATGCGCAGACTTCTGGGCTCTCGGGGCGCGTGCCAAAAAGCGCTCCCTTCTTGTTTTCATATTAAAATTCTGCCATATCTTAAAACAAATGAGCCCATAGCAGACAGTTAAAATAGTCACGGGTAGAATGTATATGCTTATAGTCATCCAGGTGATATACGCTTTGGCACCCCACGGTTGCACGAAGTCCCCCCAACAATCGTACACGCCGTTACCCACGTCCCGTAAAGAGAAAATGTACATCTGAGGAGCACTGAAAACCAAACTCAGGATCCAGGATGCAGCGACACACAGCCGGTCCTTTCTTTTGCGCACGGAGCGAAGCGGTTTGCATATGGCCAAGCACCTGTCCACGGACATCAGCACGAGCATGTAAGTGGATGCGAACATGCCAACGACCTGGAGGTACTTAACCAAGCGGCAAAGCAAATCCGGCCCATAAAATCGAAAGGTGATGTCCCAAATGAGCTGCGGGAGGACCTGGAACACGGCGACAACCAAGTCTGCGAGGCTCAAGTGCTTGATGAAATAATACATCCGAGACTGGCTGTGCTTGGATGTGCGTATCGCCCACAAGACGCACAGGTTTCCGATGAGAGCCAGGAGCAAAATAAGGACCAAAACGGTTACTTCTACTTTGGCCACGTCTTCATTTCGCTTTAGAGGGTTCACTGTGATGTTTCCCAAATGAGTGTCGTTTCTGTGGCTCAAATCTGCCCACGAGACGTTCCCATCGTGCTCGCGTAAAAGCTCCTCCATCGTGCGTAAAAGCACCTTCTAGGCTCCGTTAGAAGTCACATCACAAAAAAAAAAAATGCGGTTCACTAATGTAAAATCGGACTCACACGCAACACACACGCAAACTTTAACTTAATATGTTCATTTACATTTGAAAAAGCAGATTTCAAGACCCTTCCCTTACTAACTGTGTTTAAACCTTATGCAGCCCAGTTCTGTCTGCCTCCTGTTCAATCTCTGCTTCTCTGAGAGCGTCTGGCAGTAACCCTTTCCTCTCTCCCTCCACAATAGTTTGGGTTGTCTCCCATCTCATACCTAGCTGGAATTGTGTGTTCCTTATTATATTCATCTAATTCATCTAAGCTCCATGAATACATTCAATGCATGTATAAAAGAGTGCAGTGTTTTATTTAAAGAGTAGAAAGTTCCTATTTGATCTGACAGAAAATCCCTCTTTGATACCGCAGAGGCCTCTTGTTTTCTCCTGAAATATGGAAAACGATGTTATCTTAAATAGAATTGAATTACATCCAAAAACAGAGATGCTGTCCAGTGCCGGGCCTTCAAAACAAGTCACAAATAATTATAGCTGAAGTGAAGTCAGAAAGTTTTTTAAGCTGCCAGAGGTCAACCGCCATAGATGTGCACTATTTGCGTGCCCAAACAGATTCATGTGTACATATACACATTTTCATATTGTTAAAACAACAGCAACAAAAACACAACAGAACAGATAGCCAAAAAGTTATGTAACATTTGTAGATTGCCAGTAAGCTTTTTATAGGCTACCAATAATCACTGGAGTTAATTATACTGCTTTTATACAATTTAATACAATATATTAGTCCCATATTGTAATATTGTATTTCAAAACCCTCTGGTCAAACAACAACATGTGAAAAGCTATTTACTTTTTAACCCCATGACCTCACTGATAGAAGGCAACGCTATGTCCCCTTAAACAGAGAAGAATAGGACTTTCATGTCTTTATAGAAGTTCCTATGTGAAGCAGGGGCCTCCAGTTGTTAGCCCAGCATAAATATACAGTACATGTATTCGATGGAAGAGCTAGAACAAAGCTGACATGGACAAAAACACAAAATCTACTGGAACCATATCCATTACACAGTAAAGAGACTATGCCTTATTCTGTGTATACAATGGTGTTAGTGCAAACTGTACTCTATATTTTGTTTTGTTTGTTTTCATAATATGAAACATTGTTCTTGTTTTACAGTGTTTTACAGCGCATTACATTACTCAGTTCTGGTATTCACAAACACTTAAACATTTTGGGCAGTGCCACCAGACACAGCAGGTGTCCAACGAACTGTGGCATAACACCGGTCTAATACGTTTCATTGTATGGACTTTGTGAATCATGCATGTATGCAAGTATATAGTCTACATACTGTACACAGTGTCTTGGACTGTTCTTGGATGAACAATTCAACCTCAGGATATGCAATTGCTAAACATATATCCGCTATTAGGATCACTGATTATGTGGTATAGAAGTCAGTTAAATGTGATAACATCATGTTACCAGTTCCTTCAGCCCTCCTCCACACAACAGGATGAGGAATAATGCACCACTTCCACAACAATACTTAGATTTCCTTTATCCTGAGGGGAGGAAAAACATATTTCCTTATAGAAATGTTGAAAATACTTACTGAGGAGTTTTGCAAGGGAACATTCAGCCCAAGGCATTTTCTACTTATCCAAGGCCCAATCAAAGATGCAGACCACAAAGCATGCACTTATGTTATCATCATATCTATACAAAGCCAAGTCACAGAGTGTTGTACAATGAACACAGCTCCATAGACTTTTTGAGGACAGTGTTTGCGATGAGGACGACAGGTAAAGTGGTTCATGACGCAATCTTTGAGTCTGGACACTGCTTCCCTTTGTGTCCATCTTATTATAAATATCAAAGATTTCCCTTAGATAGTCAAAATGAGAGGGATGGATTACCTTCATCGAACACAAAGCAACTCTTTTATCTTTGTGAAGTCTCCTGCAAATGAAAATGTATTGTGTGACACTGGGCACCAATAATGGCACCAAACAGCACCCATAACAAAGCTATCATTACAGTACACATGTGATAATAATGATGTTTTTGCCATAAAAACAGAATAGCACCAGCAGGAGGTGACACTTCAAACCCCCTTTAGTGATAAAAATGTTTTAGATCTTGCCACCTAAACAAACTGTATCTGTTGTTGCGAAGGACTGAGTGAGTAATATCTGAAGAAGCCATTACCTCAGACTAGCAGCCACTTTTCTGTCAGTCAACTGCAGGGCAGCCTTGATGGCAGAGTGTAATAAAAAATAAACACACTATATATATATATATATATATATATATATATATATATATATATATATATATATATATATATATATTATATATAGAGAGAGAGAGAGAGAGAGAGAGAGAGAGAGAGAGAGAGAGAGAGAGAGAGAGAGAGAGAGAGAGAGAGAGAGAGAGAGATATAGATATAGATATAGAGATATATATAGATATATATAATGGTAGACAGATAGAAAGATCTAACCACCAACAGATCAGTGAGCGAAGAGCTCCAGCAAATCTGTCACTGTAAGTACAAAAGTACATATGAGCTAATAATGATGGTTTGCTATAAAAAAGAAAAAAAAAAGAATAGTATGACAACAGCAGGGGGCGACACCTCAAAAGCTCTACAGAAACAAAAATGTTATAGGTACAGATCTTGTCTTCTAAACAAACTGTACCCATTGCTGTGTCCTTATTACCTCGTATCTCTTTGAACTGGCTGCCTCTCACAACAGGAGTCTATAAGGCCGTCATTGTAACAGCTGAACTCCCCTGAGGCTTGGCACTGCTTCATTGTTATCATCATACTTTCTCTGCACATTTTATAGGCATACATAAGCGTCTTCATGATATCACTACAGCCCGATTGTATGTAAGTGTTACTTCTCAAAGACACATTATTACATTACATTTCAATTAGGGCCCTATAAAAGCATGCACTTACGTAAGATGTTTGGAGGACATGCTAACACAATGGACAGTGAATGTCCATTTCTCTTAATACCAAAGATAAAGGGATTTGGGTCCCTGTACTGTCGGCTTAACCCAATGCCAAAATTCAAAAGACTAATAGGTTTTTTGGCTCTAGTCCCTCTTTTTTGCATCCATGATTGTCAAGAAGCACTGATTTACATGACAGACACCTGATACACATGAGAGGCTGTCTGTACTTAAGAAGTGCAAGAAATAATTTAAGCATGTTAAGTAACTGCTGTAAATTTTTATTTGGAGAGCAAAATGACAAGATCACAGATACAAGGGTGTCTGCAACTGCTCACTGGTTGGTGCCCTTGAACAATACACTTCACCCACTTTGCATTTTTGCATGTGATGTGAGCAAGATTGATTTATAACAGTCGAAGAAGCTGTTGCTTCAGATTGGCAGCTACATTTTCATTTGCCAACTCCAGGGCAGCTATGGCAGCTCATCTTAGAGTACAGAATGTACAATAAAACATTTTATTGTTATGTATTGTTATTGTACAAATAGACAAGACTGTGCAAGAAAGGGCATCATGTGTCTAGTTAGTAATGTCTTCCATCCATCTTTCCATCTTTCCAACAATCATCCATGCACTAGAGTATACATGAAAAGCAGGAGAAGAATCTTATCAAAAGGCACAATGGCAGAATGCATTGACACTAGCAGTGTTGAACTGCCAATGGATCAGTGGTTGTCTTTACTAACTTAGTTGCTATGGCTGAGAAATTTCAAGGGCATAGGTTTTTGTAGCAGAAACAAAAGCAGTTTAAAAAAAAACTTTGGTCAATATTTTCACATTTTGGGCATCACCAAATCGACATCATTGCACCAGAACTACAGACTGTTTAAAAAAATTGACTATGGTGGACTCACCCATAGTCAAACATAGGAGCTCCAGTCAACTGAAAACAGTGAAGTAAAAACACCAGGATCAGGTAGAACAGGTTATTATGAACATTTTAAGACTAAAATGACAAGGCTCACAGCAGCAGGTACAGAGAGAGATGTAAAGTCAATTGGAGTCGATGGAAACACCCCCATGAACACTTCCTATTTGGAACGCAGTGGCTAGCGGGTTGTCTATTTATATATACAGTCAATCACTAGAACCCATAGAGGTTGATTGTTGCACAAAAATCAACAATGTCAGAATGCAATGCCACTATGAGAATTGAACTGCCAATGCATCAGTGGGTAAACATATCTACTTACTCTGTCACGACAGCCCCAAAGGACATAGATTTTTGGCATCTCCCACATCAACATGATTGCTCTGCTAGAGGTTGATTGTGTAATACAACAAAATGCATATGAACTGTAAACTTGAACTATACAAAGTTGTCTTGATCCAGAAGTGTGTAACCATGAGCGGCTGCGGTAAATCACATTATCACAGCAGAACTGATACTCCACGACACACGAAGAACATCCACAAATATTTAGTTTCATGTTGAGCACACATCCTGAGCTGAAACAGATGAGTCTCTACCCAGGCCTTTCAGTTTAGATTTGGCATGGAGCGTGACAGTGAATGGACCCTATGTTACATCCCTGACCGCTCCATCCGACCCCTCTACTGTTTTTATCAGTGGATGTTGGGGCAGCGGGGTGATGCAACCCCACAGGTATCCCGCAGTGGTTGAGGGTTCAAGTCCGTCTCCATGATGACAAAGGAGTGTGTTGCTTCAGCTGCCCCATGGATAGCTCAAGTCTAAACCAGCAGTCAGTCTATTGGCCTAACCTGAAGCATGTGTGAGGTGCAGAGGTCAACTATCAATGCACCAATCCAATCCTTTTAGCGTGACAAGGCCCAGGGCTGGTGTGAACACTGCCAAAGAAAACAAACCACTGTCCATAACACACAATTCTTCTCACCTCTGCGGCTTTTACATCTTTGATGAGCTGGAGTGTGAGCTCACACTTGGTTTGAGTGAAGTTTAATCCTGGTGTGGACTTGGTTTGCTCCTGCTGGTTCAGTAAATTCCAGGTTTAGTTCTGGGTTTAAAGCTACCATCTGTAAGTTTATTTTATTATAATTTTTTTTCTACTAATTGATGGCAGATGTGAAACCTGTTTTCCCCTCCTCTCACCTCAAAGCTGGCAAACTCTAAGTCAGATAGCACTTGTTTAAGGGAC